GGCGATGTCCTGAAATCTCACATTCTTGAGCGGGCTGGACATAAATATAATTTCATGTCTAAATCATCTACAATCTGCTCTGACGTTACGATGCATTAGGTAATTTACATACTCATTAATCTTTCTATATTATGAAACATGTCATATTAATATATTCAGATTACACTACCGAGTATTTTTTTATGATAATAATGCACTAACGAGTACACAAAAACATGGACACAAAATCTCACACAAAAACAAGTATATACAAATTTATACACAATGACCCTTTTTCCATACACATACGTACAAGCGTTTCATACACAGACGTACAAACATCTGCACGCAATCACCCACACAGAAGCCGGTACACTATCATCTACACACAAACACCGTCAAACATCACACAAAACGCACAAAAACATACACGCGAGCACATACACACAAACACTTTGACATTAACACAGACGCACAATCTCCTACACGCAAATATCTACATACAACCGCCTACGCACAAACATACTACAAACCAACCCTGACACATTACCACATACACACTAAAATGCTAAGCCGTATACACTGATCCACACTAATCTATATACGGAAACTCATACACAAACACCTACATAATTATACAAACCTACAGCACAATTACGGTCAAAACTCTTGTCCAATCTGTTTCGAATTCAGCTTCATACCACACTTTTTGTATAGGGGAAAACAGATTCGAAGCTTCAATTCAATAAAAGACTTTTATCCGCCAGTGTACACACAAAACCAATACACACAAACACCTATACACTAACACATCCACATAAACAGCTACACACTAATACACCCACACAAACATACACATTAACCTACACTTACAGACACGCTCACACAGACACGTGCACACAAACTTCTACACACAACCACCATTAGGAGGCGCCCCCCCCCCCCCCCCCCCGATCCCGTGTATTCCTCCCCTGGGATTGTATCTGATAAAATATGGAAGGATAAATCATAGGATCTGTCATCCGCACGAAGGGGCCTATCTGTTTTGTTTGTTTGTTTTTGTCTACTTCTTTTCTGTTTATTGTCTGGTTTGTTTGTTTTTTCTTCTGGTTCTAATGTTCTTTTCCTTTTCTTTTTATCTTTTTATTTTCATTATCATTATTCTACTCATTGAGATTATTACTGTTATTAACGTCATTACCATCTCCATTAGCATTACCGTAGGTTTTATTATCATTACTGTCATTACGGTCATTGCCATTAATATTATTATCATCATTACCTTTACTACTTCTATTCTACTTTAGCTTTTTTCGATTACTACCATAATGAAAAATCCAAAACGAAAATTTTGAGGACCTGTAGCGAACAATTATCCCAACGAGGAAAGAATCTTCATTCCCATTAATTCAACACCAATATCTGGAATTGGACATGACCTTTTTTATTACTTTTTCTTCCCGGAATGGCAAGTTCACACACAGCCATAGAAATACCCCGTCCCACGTTAGTTCCCCCTTCACTTTAGCGCATATGCGTCGTATCCCGTTTTCTATGGAAAGTGGGAATTTCCATTTTCATCAAGAGGGGCGCTTCTTTTCATCCCTTGACGCTTAAAAGGGATTTCAATACGTTAATGGTTTTCGTCGTCCTGTGCAGTTTAAGGGAGAGGCTGTTGATTATTTGCTTGGGATTTCGAAGTGGAGGAATAAGGGGTGTGCGTGTGTGTGTTGGTTTGAAGATGGAGATGTGTATGTTGGGTTTTGTGAGATGGGAAGCAAGGGTCCGCGTGCTCTCTACGTCTGCCATCTTTTCTGTCGTTCTCTGGCCCGCGGTCTCTTTCTCTTTCTTTGTCTGTCTGTCTTTCTGTCTCTCTCCTTCCCTTCTTTTTCACCTTTGGTTTTCTCTCTCTCTCTCTCTCTCTCTCTCTCTCTCTCTCTCTCTCTCTCTCTCTCTATATATATATATATATATATATATATATATATATATATATATTATATATTTCCCTGTATATCGTGTGTGTGTGTGTGTACATATATACAATGTCAGAGTACTACGCTTTAACCACCGCCGCGGCAGTCGCAGAATCCCCGCGCTCCGACGGATGGCCTGAGCCCGATTTCACGGCGGGAAAACGGCAGATCCATCGCCCGCAGGTGTCGTCGGGGAAGGCGCCGCCGAGGCACGAGTGTTGGCATTCAATCAGGCAAGCGTGGCGCTGACGAATCAACTCTCAGTAAGGAATTGAGAGAGGGGGAAGTCCTGCTGGGGATTGAATGACTGTTGAACAAAGAAACACACACACACAAGTATGTATGTCTGTATGCATACACATATGCACACACACATACACAACACACACACACACACACACACACACACACACACATACATATATATATACATACATATATATATATATATATATATATATATATATATATATTATATATATATATATGTATGTATGTACGTATGTGTGTATATATAAACACATACACCCACTCACATACATATATATATATATAATATATATATATATATATATATATGTATATAACATATGTGTGTGTGTGTGTGTGTGCGCGTTTGAGTGTGTATAGAAAATGAAAATAAGTACTTCCACAATGCAAGAGAAGTATTTAACCGGTTTCGAACATATCTTCCTCAGAAATACGTGTATAGTTGTATACATGTATGCATGTGTCCATTGATATTATATATATATATATATATATATATATATATATATATATATATATTATATCCAATCAATCAATAATATATAATATAGATAAGATATATCAATAATGATAATATATCAATATATCAATTTATATAAATTAATGATGTTAAACGATTGTTGCTGTTACTATCATTAATATCATTGTTACTATTTCTATCATTATTATCATCATCATGATTGTCATTATGAGCATTATCATTATCATAACTTATTATTGTTGTTTCACTGTCGCTGTTATCATGGTAATTATCATTAATTTTGGCGTCATTATCATTTTTAACATTATTATATAAAAGAACTCAAAATTATTTCTAGAAACATGGAATACCTGAATCACTCATTTTCATTTTTCCCGAATCCGAGGAAGGAATTTCCCGCCAAAATTTGAATCTTGCCTCGAAATGGAGGAAGTCACAAATCGGTTATAAAGGGAGGCGGAAATAAGAACGTTAAATATGAAGTCTTTTCGAATTCCAAATACTTTCACATTCTTTCCAGGCATTTCCTTAAAATCTTCAGAAACTCTTTAATTATAATTTGTTCATTGCATGTGTGGAATGTGGTTAGATACACATAACTATGTATGTAGTAGACGAAACCGACTTGAAGACGGAATCCAGGAGGATTTCGAAACTTTCATTTCCAGTAAATCTAGTTTGTGCATTACTTTTTTTTTTTTTTTTTTTTTTTTTACCATAGTATGAATATTTTCACACACATATGCATATATATATATATATATATATATATATATATATATATATATATTATATATATGTATATATATATATATATATATATATATATATATATATATATATATATATATGTTATATATATATAGAGAGAGAGAGAGAGAGAGAGAGAGAGAGAGAGAGAGAGAGAGAGAGAGAGAGAGAGAGAGAGAGAGAGAGAGAGAGAGAGAGAGAGAGAATGAGACATACACACACACACACACACACACACACACACACACACACCACACACACACACACACACACACACACACACACACACACACACACACACACACACACACACACATACGTACATACATACATAATTATATACATATATGTATGTATATATAAGGCCATCATTACGCAACAGCCTTCCTTATGCTAAGCTCAATAAGCGGTTCGAGGTTCAATGTAAACATCCCCCCCCCCAGTATCTCCCCCCCCCTTCCTTCCTTCCACCGTGGACTCCGCTTAATGGAAACCTGTCAGATGCTGATGCTCATCTCGCGGAGCCTCCCTTGCCTGCTTCTGCTACCTGCTTTAACAGCACTCATTTCGGGCTCTTGGTTCAGGAGTGTGGACGCATATGCGTATGTTCACATGCACAGACATACACACTCACTCACATAAATATATATACGTATATACACACTTACACACACATTATATATATATGGATATGTATGTATATATATGGTGTGTGTGTTGTATGTGTGTGTGTGGTTGTGTGTTTGTGTGTGTGTGTGTGTGTGTGTGTGTGTGTGTGTGTGTGTAGATTTGATAGGAAGAGATATAGACAAAATTATAAATGTATGCGTGCATGTTTAACCATGCATACACACGGAGAACCTATTCCCACCCCGCGGCCCCCTTCGCGCGCCCTACCTTGATGTAGGAAACGGGCGGGAGCGACTTCTGGGAGTTGGCGTGCTGGGTGGACAGCGTCAGCAGCGAGGTCACGCCCAGGGTCACGCGCGCGGGAACGGCTTCGGGCTTGATCCAGAAGCTGATCCACGACATGATGACGATGAGGCAGGTCGGGATGTAGGTGTGGAACAGGTAGTATCCCAGGCGGCGTTTCAGCGTGAACACCACCGCGAGACACGTGAAGTTGCCTGGAGGACGGGAGAGAGAGGAGGGACTGCGCTGAAAGGCGTTGGTTTTCGAGGTGCGGGCAGCGCCGGAAGGGAAAGGGAAGCTGACTAAGGGAAGGGAAACCGTCTAAGGGAAGGGAACCGTCTGAAGGGAAACTGTCTGGGAAACCGTCTAAGGGAAGGGAACCGTCTGGGGGAAGGGAACCGTCTGGGGGAAGGGAAACCGTCTGGGGGAAGGGAACCGTCTAAGAAGGGACCGTCTGGGGGAAGGGAAAAGGAAACCGTCTGGGGGAAGGGAAACGTCTGGGGGAAGGGAACCGTCTGGGGGAAGGGAACCGTCTAAGGGAAGGGAACCGTCTGGGGGGGGAAAACTGCTGGGGGAACCGTCTGGGGGGGGAAACCGTCTGGGGGGAAGGGAACCGTCTGGGAAGGAAACTGTCTGGGGGAACCGTCTGGGGAAGGGAAAACCGTCTGGGGAAGCCTCTACGCTCCTGTACATGGATGGTGGATGAGTCCCTTCTGGCAGACCGGGAAACTACCCGCAAGGAAGTATAAATGATGAAGAGGAGAATGAGATAAACATGAACTTCTACAAAGAATTGATACTGCCCTGAAGAGTTCCGAGAGGGAAATAAGAAAGAATCATAAATCGGGGGGGGGGGGGGGGGGGGCGGAAGTAAAAAAAAAGAACAACGATAAATCGGCCATCCTTGAACTTCTCGGAAACCACGAAGGATCAAATAAAACGAATCACTTCCAAAAAGCCTTTCCTCTCTTCCCTCACACACATGAATAACACAAGATAAAACAACCAAGACGATTCGAAACATTAACCAACTAAGACAACCAAACAAAAAACAAGACCTCTAAACATAAAACAACTAAGACATCTAAACACAAAAAACAAGACCTCTAAAAAAAAAAAAAAAAAAAACACAAAAACAATGCCTCTAAACATAAAGACAACTAAGACATCTAAACACAAAAAACAAGACCTCTAAAAAAACAAACAACACAAAAACAATGCCTCTAAACATAAAACAACTAAGACACACACACTTACCTGTGGAATACACCTGAGTGCAGTCACCTGTCTCATTGGACACGAGGTCGAGTTGCGGGAGCTCGATGGTGTCGTCCACTTCGAGAGGAACGATGGGGTCCCAGACGAAAATCAGGTCATCCGTTGTGTGGGATACTGAGAGAAGAAGAAGAAGATAAATGAAATGATGAAGATGAAGAGAAGAAATAAAGGAAATGGGAAAAATTGATAAACAGGACAAAGAAGAAGAGTAGGGATGATAGAGAATAATAAGAGACAAATAGCTTGAACTGAATAGCCCCATACAAAAATCAGGTCATCCGTTGTGCGAGATACTGAGAAAAGAAGATAAATGACATACATGACGTAGATGAAGATAAAGAAAATAAATAAAGAAAATAGGAAAATTTGATACATACACAAGATAAAGAAGAAGAGAAGGGATGACAGAATGATAATAAGAAAAAATATCTTGAATTGGTCCCACACGAAAATCAGGCCATCCGTTGTGTGAGATACTGAGAGAAGATATATAACATAAATAACGTAAGCGAAGATAAAGAAAAGAAAAGAAATAAAGAAAGATGGGGAAATCTAATAGCTAAACAGGATAAAAAAGAATAGAATAGATGGCAGAGAGTAAGAGGAGAAAAATAACTTGAAACGAATAGCTCCCATACGAAAATCAGGACATCCGTTACGTGAGATACTGATAACGTAGATGAAGATAAAGAAAAGGCAAGAAATTAAGAAAACGGGAAAAATTTAATAGATAAACAGGGTAAAAAAGAAAAGAATGGCTGACAGAGAATAATAAGAGAAAAATCGCTTGAAACAAATAACTCCCATACGAAAATCAGGTTATCTGGGAGAAGATAAACGACATAAATGAAATAAAATCAGATCATCGGGGAGCAGATATACGATATAAATGACGCAGATGAAGATAAAGAAAAAAAATAAAGAAAAAGGGGGAAATGAACATATATCCAGAATAAAGAACAAAAGGATAATAGGTCATCTGTTGTGTGAGATACTGGGAAAAGGAAAATATAAGTGAAATAGACGAAGATGAAGAAATGAAAAGGGAAAATAAAGAAAATTAGGAAAAAGTCAATAAGCTGGACAAAAGAGAAGAGGGAGGATAACAAAATAATAATAAGAGAAATATCTTGAATTCGTCCCTCGCAGATACAGGAAAAAAATAAAGTAGATAAGGAAGATAAGTAAAATAAGATAAGGAATGGGGAAAAAAAGACATAGGATAAAATAATGCCATACACGAAGAAGAGAAAGAAAAGAGAGAACTGGAAAAAAATAGATAAATTTCTCAAATAAGAAAAAGGGAAATGAAAGAAAAAGAAAAAAGAAAACAGTCATCAGTTGGGTGAGCTTCCTGGAAAATAAAATAAAAAGATAAAGGTAATGGGGGAAATAAACAGAGCGATGAAGAGTAGAGATGGCGGAGAAGATAAATGGAATTGATGAGGAAGAGAAACAAGAGACAAAAGAAAATGTGCATAATAAACAAACAAATAAGGCAATAAAAAATGGAAAAGAATTATATTAATATAATGATAAAAACAGCTTGGATAGCTCTCATGTGAAAATCAGGCCATGATGATAATAATGATAATGGTGGTAATTATCACAATAATAACAAAAATAGTGATGGAAATAATAGTTATAGATAATGATGGTAATACTACTACTAATAATGATAATAAATATAATAATAAGGATAATAAATAAATAATAAATAATAATAATAATAATAATAATATATAATAATAATAATAAATAATAATAATAATAATAATAATAATATAATAATAATAATAATAATAATATAATAATATAATAATAATTTAATTATTATTATAATGGTATTAATAAAATAAAAAATAATTATAATAATAATGATATTGATTATCAGTGTTATTATTATCCTGGAATGATAACAACACTAATGATGATAGTAATAATAACCACAACAAAAATGACTGATAATGATAAGAGTATACAGAATGAAAAAAATCAATATGAAGGAATGAAATGGGTGAGAGAAATATTACGAAAATGGGAAATACGAAAATGGAAAAAGATTTAGGCTCGGATCCCCTGCGAAAATCAGGAAGAGGTGAAGAAAAAATAAATAAAGAAGAAATAAAAAAGAAGAGATTCTTTTTTTGAAGATGAAATTAAGATGAAAGAGGAGAGGAATGAGAGAGATGGTGATGATAAACAAGATTATAAAGAGAAATGAAACGAACATGTCCGTTTATGAGGGATGCTTGAGGAGGAAGATAAATTGAGGAGCTGAAGAGGATGATAAATGGAAGAGAAGAAGGAAAAGAGAAGAGGAAGGAATAAAGAAAGGTGAAGAAATAAAAAGAAATACAAGGATGACGAAAGAGACAATTGAAAGAGAAAGTGAAGAGGAATAGGGATAGAAATGAAGTAGAATGAAAAGAGAAAAAATGAAAGAAATAAATGGATTAGAAATAAGAAATAGGTAGAAGAAGAAGAACAACAAGAAATCTGCACGAAAATTAAAACAATTGATTTTTTGGAATACAGAAAAAAACGATAGAAATAAAAAAATAAAATAAATACAAACATAAAAAGAATCAGAAAGACGATTTTTTTATCATTATCATCCTTATTATCATAATTTTCATGATTATCACTATTATCATCATAATCAATATTATCATTACTATTGTTATCATCATCATCATCATCACCATTATTATTATCATTATTGTTGTAATGATAATAATAATTATCACCATCTTCATAATCATCATCATCATTATCTTTATTATCATCATTATTGTTACTGTTGTTACTTTTATCATTATTCTCATTCTCATTTTCATTACCATTATCATTATCATTTTCATCATTGCCATTATCATTATTATCATCATTATAATAATAATAATAATAATAATGATTATAATTATCAGTATTATCAACATAATTATTATTATTACTTTTACTACTACTACTACTACTATCATCATTATTATCATCACTATCACACTTATCTACATTATCAAAATGAGCAGCAATATCATTTTCATTGTCATCACTATCATTATTATTATTCCTATACCATTAATAGTAAATCTATCTTTATCAGCACTACCATCGCACGAATCATCATTACTGCGCCACTATAACATTCATTAAAGTTAGAAAAAAAACAATAATTTTCCCCTCACTCAATTAACACACTTCATTACATCCAAATACGATACTGATATCATCCATCAATCAAAGCATATCTACAGACCACAAAAAAATCATAACCAACATTTCGTTTTCTTTTTCTTTCAACTTATAATGTCATGACAAACGAGGGGTAACTGTAGCATTATGATACTCACAGCTTTCAATCTTCATGGCACACTGCTGAGTGTCATGAGGATATGACTGGAAATTCATGGCACAGGAGAGGAGAAGAGTCAGCCTGGATGGGGAGAAAAATACGATAAATTTAGTAAGAAGAAAGAGAAAGATAATGCTGATGAAGATGAAGAATGAGAAAAAATACGTATGTGTGTGTGTGAATATTTATTATCAGTGTTACGTGTATGTATATGTATATGACTGAATAGATAAGATTAAAAAGGTATCTGTCAATCTATCTCTGTCTGAGGCTCTATCTATCAGTCCGGCCGCGTGTCTGTAAGGATAGACAGATAGATAAAGACAAAGTTCTGAAATGGGCAATCAAAGGGCGAGTTAAAAGCGATCGGTGATTTTCATTCTGTACAAAAATTCTTAGAGAAGGGAAATGTAAGGGTGATGATGATGATGGTAATGATGATAACATTAATGAAGATGATAATCTTGGTAATTATATATACAATAGTAATTATGATAATGATAATGATGATAAGAATGAATATGATAGGGATGATAAAATAATGATAATAATGATGATAATAGTAATAACAATGAACATTAAAATATTGATGATGATGGCAATAATTATAATAAAAATAACAATGATGATAATGATAATGATGATGATAATAATTTATTGATAATAACCATAATCATAATATTTTTCTTTTCTGATCATAATAATGATAATAGTATTAATAGTAGCAATGATGAAAATAACATTAATAAGATAATGGTAATGATAATAATACTAATAATAGCAACAACAATAACCAAAAATAATGATGCTGTTAAAAATAATAATAATGATAACAACAGCAGCAATAATGATAATAATGACAATGATAATAATAATGATGATGATAATAATGATAATAATAATAATAATGATAATAATGAAGATAATAATTATAGTAAGATCATAAACTCGTGCAACTCTGGAAGTGACAAGATTTATACGTAAAACAAATCGACTTTA